GTCCAGTTTAACTGACACTAATTAGATTTTAAACCCAGATTAGTTGGCACCTTAAGCCCAAATTAGCTGGCACCTAGATTTTAAGCTCAATAAAATTGGTACCAGTTAAGGAAAATGTTGTAATCAAGTCTTTTATAAAATTTTCGGTGGTGATATCTAAGTTCTCTTCAATGATAATATCTGAAGTCATTTGTATCTTTACTCGGTGGTGATATTCGAGTATTCATGTTAGCATATCATTAAAGTTTTCTTGGTGGTGATATTTGAATAATAATGTTTGATTAACATTTGCATTCACCCGATGTGATACCCAAGTATCCAAGTCATCTGACTTTTCAATGATGATATCTGAGTTTCCTTTAGTGGTGATATCCAAAATTCAAAAAATCTTAAAAATTGAATGTTTCCTTTTTTATAAGCTAATTTTCAAAAATTGATTTGTAAGTCCTTTGGGCAAAATCCCTAAAACCTCCAAACCAAACTTTAAATTTTTAAATGATTTTCAAAACCTCTAGGCAAAATCTTAAATCTTAAATCTTCGAATGATCTCAAAGACCTTTGATCGAAATTTTAGATTTTTAAATGATTTCAAAGACCTCCGAACAAAATTTTAAATTTTTAAACGATTTCAAAGACTTTTAGGCAAAACTTTAAATTTTTAAATGATTTCCCAAAGACTTTTGAGCAAAGATTCGAAATATTCATAAGTCCTTTTGATAGAATATTTTAAATTTGTAAAGTTTCAAAGCCTCTATTTATGAAGAGCCATTTTCAAACAAGATCTTTAAAGTTCCAAATTCTCTATTTATGTGGAGCCATTTCTCAAGATTTTTAAAGTTTCAAAACCTTTATTTATGAGGAGCTATTTTCAAATAAGATTTTTAAAATTTCAAAGCTTTTATTTATGGGAAGTCATTTTCCAAAATTTTAAAGTTTTAAGGCCTTTGTTTAGAAGAGCTTTTTCAAAATTTAAAAAAAAAACCTCTATTTAGAGGAGTTTTTAGTTTTGAGATTTGCAATACCTTTGGGCATAATCTCTTATTTTATTTTCAAAAGTTGTTGAATCTTTGTTTAAGTGAGTTTTTTTAAAATTTGTTTTTAAATGGTCAAGTTCATTAATTTTAAAAACAAAAAAAAGCCCGAAAAATAAGAGAAAAATACAAAAACAAAACAAAAAAAAAAACAAAACAAAGAAAAAAAAAACTTTTGCAAAACTTTGAATTGTTAATCCGAACAAAATTGTTATATATATATATATCTTTGCCTTATTTCTGATTCTCGGTAATATCCAAAGAAAGGCAGTTATAGACACCTAATTTTTTTGGATCAATTTGAGTTTCTTCGATTTCTGTACTTGATTTGAATGTTTTGATTTGATTTGAGTTAATTTAAGCATTGTAATTAGATTTATTGGATCAAGCTCGATTGAGCTTTTTCTTTAATTAATCATTTTTTATACTTTTGCATGAACCTAGGTTTAATTTAGTTTCTTTATTGAATCAATTTTGAATTAAGATTTAAGAGTCGCTTCAAATTATTCAACCTTGAAAGCCCATTGGAAATCCAAAATTCAATTTAAAATCCATATTTGAAACCGAATTTTACTTTTAATTTAATTCCTCAAATCAAACATACAAAACCCTAAAAAAAAAAAAAAAGAAGTAGATAATTACAATTGGCATTGCATTATTACAAAGTAGCAAGGTTTTCAACATATCTTCATGCCACAACAAGCCAAATGTTCTAAATTTGTTTTTCAAATGCAACGGTTTTTCTGCTTGAATTTTGTTCAAGCATTGAAGGCTTATGTCTTTTTTTCCTTTTTTTTTTGCTAAGGAAGGCCTAGGTCTTATTTCAATTCATAAACATAAGGAGGTTTTTGAAAAAAAAAAAAAACAAAGGAATGAAGCTACAAACAGTAAAAAAAAAAAACTCTTAAAAATAAAAACCAATCCCCACTTTCAAAATCCATTGTCAACAAGCCACCAAACCCATTTTCAAAGAACAAAACACCTAACACCAACCCTTGCCCAGCACCAGTCCTGGTATAACCCTAATGCCAGCACTAATCTTCACCAACCTCCAACCACCTTAAACCAAGCACCCAATAGGACCAGAAAAAAAAATATATCCAGCATCAAAACCCAATCCCAACACCAAACCACCAAACCCCATTGCAAAAAGATAAAACACCCAACACCAGCCATTGCCTAACACCAACCAAGCACCCACTAGGACCACCAAACCCACCAGCCGAAACCCTCGACCTCTAAAAGCTTCAACTCCAATCTGATACCAATATCAACTCGAGACCTTTTCTAGAAAACCATTCCCTACCCTAACACATAACCCATAAACCTCCACTTTTCATGACCACTAACCCCAACACCTAAATCTACCACTTACCTCTGTCCTCCACAAAGCCACCATAACCAAGACACCCATGTGAACCTCCTCCCAACACTACCTCAACCATCAACATGGCCTAGCCCTTAAGCTTACATCATCATCTCCATCAAACCTAAGTTCAACCTTTATCGGTATCAACCCATCATGAACCATATTGCCAACACAGCCATTTCACCACTAGAGAAACAAGGCCACTTTAATAGAACAAAAAAAAAAAAAACCTTGCAACCACCATCATTTTCTACCTTTAGTCGCCGCCACCATACCCAAACAGTTCCTCCAAACTAAACCTTCTATTGTAACATAAAAAACCTAATACTCAAATCCATTAACAACCAAAAAGGAAAAAACAACATCAAACATCAATCCCTCAATCCCTATGAATAGGGAACCAAAACGCCATCATAAAAACAAGGTTAAATATAAGATTTCTAAGGCTTTTTCAAGGAAAAAAAAAGGCTGAAAGTAGAAAGATGAGGATATGAGGATCACTTTTGTGATTTTAAAATTTTTTGACAACCGACAGGAGAAGTCAACGGTGGCGACCAACGTCAATGAGTAATAATGCATGGTGACAATTGACTGTTTTCTAGAGAAAAGATTGAGAGTGTTTTTTAGGTTTTTTTTTTTTTGTAAAGAAGGTTGAAAATGAGCTAAAGAAAGAGGGATGACTTTTATATAAGAAGAAAACCCAAAATGATGCCGTATAAAACCCCCAAAACCCACGTGCTGGCCCAAACTTGACCCAAGACCTACATGCTTGACCCAAATCAAGAAATTGCTACCAACCTCAAACCAATTCAAGTGAACTGCCTGCAAACCTGTCTTAAATCAAACCGAACCATTAAATTCATAAAAAATCACCTCCAATCCACTTTTGAACTAGTTTGAACTGCAAAAAAATCACTAAACCACTTCTAGACCTACCAGTTTAGATAATTTTTTATTATTTTTATTTATTTCTATTTATATATTATTTTTAATTATTTTTTAAATTATTTATTTTCTTATTTATGCATGTTTAAAATCTTAAATCCTTATAATAAATATTTAATATTTTGTAGTAAAATAGTGCTAATAAAAATAAAATTTCAATTCCAAAAAGTAATAAAGTACAATGTATCTATTAAAAAAATGTTACTAATAAATAAATAAATAAGAAAAGAGAGAAAAAGGAAATCTCTATTCAATGATGGAATTTTAAGAAAGTCAAAATAGAGATTCCTAAAAAAATTTTAAATGAAAAATTCTTTTAAAAATATTGCCAAAGAATTAGGTATTTAGAAAAATTTTCAATAAAAATTTTTTTTTTACTTTGTTCCCTTAAAAATTTTAATAATAATGATTACAAAATAATTAGGTGATTAAAACAAAATTAAAATGAGTAATAAAAAATATAATATAAGAAAAATAAGTAATATGTCTTTTTTTTAAAAAAAATAAAATATGCAATAAAAAATTATAATAAAAAAATTTTAAAAAAACTTTCATGTGCATATTACACGTTACTCTCAAAGTAACACGGATTTTCGACGATAAGATTATTAAAAAGTTCGAATAGTAATTCTTAATAAATTCTTAGGTGAGAAAATTTTTTTAAAATTATTGTCAAAGTATTATAATATTTAGAATGATTTTTAATACAAAAAATTCTTGTTTACTTTTCATTTCTAAAAATGAATTTTTATGCAATGCAACAGCATCACAAGTTAATCCATATGTATCATATTATAAACGTAAATAAACTTTCCAAGGATAAGATTATAATGAAATTCGAGAATGATTTTTTAAGAATCTATAGGTAAGAAAATTTATCTAAAATGTCGTCAATGTATTGGGCCATTTAAAATAATTTTTGATGAAAATTTTTTGTTTTTTTTAATAAATAGAATAAGAAATAAATTTTTTTAAAAATATTATTTGGATTAAATTATAGATATCATGTTTTACTATATGCATAGTAAATATAAATTCAAAAATCCGAATAATGAATCTTAAAAAATCTTTAAATGATAAAATTTCTTTTAAGATTATCAAAGTATTAGAATATTTTAAAAAGTTTTTAATATGTAAGATTCTTATTTATTTTTCAAGCAAACAACTAAAAATAAAAATATATTTTTTATTACAATAAAGAAATTAAGAAAATTAACTCTAAATATCAAAATTAGTACATTTTTGTCAAAATTAAAAGATAATACATAATTAATTGATATCACTTTTTTAACGAACACTGTGAAATGTTAATCCTTCTTTATGCGTGATCCACTCTCAAACTCAAATTATTTTTGCAAATCCAAAATTTATATTTTTAATAAATTTTAATTAATTTTAAAATTTTACTAAAAAATAATTTTAATAAATGATCAATCATATCTAACCAAATAATTTGATGATGAATTCATTTTTATTTTTTTAAATTCAACTAGCGACCTTCGAAACCATTATGATAAATTTAATAAAATAAAAAAACTGTATTTTATATTTTTTTGTTTATAGGAATTGTAAGACATGATTTTCATATAAAATATGACACAAATATAATATTTTTCACGATAAAAATTATAAGATTTATCCCAAAGATAAGTTGGCTAAGCTGTTTGTTATTCATCTTCTTCAATTCATAATTCAACTACATACTTCGACCATTAAAGAAAATGCTTCTTCCATCATTACAATCCATATTAAACTTATCATAAGTACACACTTTGATGATAAGAATGGTATTCTGTGGACTAACATAACACTACTATTAAATTACTTTTCTTGACTTAGCACTTACATTGCATTTGCATATTTGCTCAATGTTTAAATATTGGACTTTCAGTCAAACAAACATTTTACATATAGCCTCAATCCAATTCGAATGTACAAATAGTTGAAGGGGAATGGGGGCAATGTACGAGACTTCCACATTGTGGATCAAGGGAATATTAACCCCTGGCTTTTGCAAGAAGCTGTCCTTGCCACTTGAACTCGTACCTCCAGAGTCACAATGACCAAACTTATCATTGTGCCTGTAACCACCGATCAGTGAATTCACAATATATGTACAAATTTGTAATAAAAATACACAATTCCAAATTTAGGCAGTAAGTGAATAACTATACGAAATGACAAGACAAAAGGAATTTGAGAGAAGCAAAAAGAAAAATCCTGTGCAACCAACTGATTTGCAACATAAAAAAATAATAATAATAAGCAAGATACCTCCAATAACTAACAGAAATAGTTAATGGAAAACCAAATCTACAACTTAACTAACAAAAATATATCTCCTTCATGCTTTTTAAGAAAAGTAATAAATTTAGAACTACATATCTTTAGAAAAATAATAAACTAAAAATCTCACAAAATCTATCAATAACCACCACAGTTGAAGAAACTTGCAGAAAATACCTAGATATTTACATATTTTTAGAGTAAATATATTAATCTTTAAGAAAAGTATTTAGAACAAAAGATGCACACACATAGAATTTCATAAGAATATTAAGCGGATGACCGTTTTCTTTCAAGCTTATAACCTCTGGATGGAAGACACAGGCCTCTTTGTCACTTCAGCACAAGATACCCATTTTCTCACCTTTTTGTCTCTTTAAGTATCCTTTTGCCTAACATTAGTCTATTTTACCACATAATGCTTCATAGCCATGAGGCAGAGAAGAAAAACAAATGGTAAATAGAGGACACAACAAGCCAAGAGAAATAACAGCTAGCAGTTTCATAAACGTAGCAAGCTTTTGCTCATTCCAGCTATGTCATCAGATCAAGTCAACATCCAAAATAATTACTGAAGTTTGGGTCTTTTATCATGGTGGGAGTCAGGGTAGGCCAGTGGGGGCAGGTAGAGGTGAGGAGGAAAGCCCATCCTCACTTTCATTTTTAGAGGAATTCTAATCTATTTGAATACTTTTTTATTCAACAAAACTTTTTAATCTTCCTATTGAACACTAGTGGAGAAAGCTTATACATTATGTGCGAATAAAAGAACAGCAGGAGTTACGATTTTGGACCAAACAGCAGATAATTCAGTATTTTCATTGCAATGGAAGGAATACATAGATTGACATGCCAAAGGGCACAATTGAGCACAAATTACCTATTTATTTGATCAGAGATCATGTCATGGATTAGTTACTGTGGTGCGAAGGCAAATGCCATAATCAATAACCAAGATAGCTTGGATCCCCCATATACTCAGCAATCTGTTCAAGTTTCACATTTAACAACTCCTGACTATCAGCCTCCCTTACAACACCTGTTTCTCTATCTAAATCCCTCTCCACCAAACTTCCGTAGACACCTTTATGCCTACCATACAAAACAAGAACTGGACCACCACGCCTCGGCAATGCAGTCTCAAGCAGTTCCTGCTCGACCCCTTGAATCAATTCCTTACTGTCATCCATTGATATATCACATACATATGGTCCAACAACATCCACTACCTGCCCTTTCTTCAAATAAAACCTTCCCCCTTCCAAACTTTTACTAATAATCCGAACCCTAATGTGACTTCTAAGCCAAGAAACCCCTCGATCACCATTACTCCTAACTCTCTCAACATTAACTTCGCTTTCACTTCTTTTCTCACTCTCACTCTCTCGGCTCTGTTTGATAAGCTTTCTTTCATCCCTCTTGTGTTTCGAATCTTTGCCTTCCATTATCTTCAACTCCTTCAATTTCCTCAAACACTTGTCTTCTTCCCTTGAACCCAAATCAGCAATCTCAAATTTACGAACTTTAACTTCCTCATCTCTGTTCTTCAACTTCAAAACAACCCAACTACCACCCAACTCCATTATTGTACCTTTCGAACCCATTTTTCTCCCTTCAATCACTCTCACATCTTTCCCAACGAAAAACCCGTCTCCATCCTCCTTCAATGTTTCTTCTTTGGCATTCTTGAAATCGTGTAATCTTTCTTTAGTTTCCTTAGAACTAAACCCTAAACCCTCTTTGTCGGTCCTCCTCTCATACTGCTTTACTTTAACATCTTCCTTTGCGTTCTTCCCAATTCCTCTCCCTTCAACCCACCCGTACCCAGCAAGCAAAGCCTTACCGAAACCCTCCACAGGAACATCGTCGAACTCTTCAAACCCTCGATCCTCGGGCAGCCTCTTCAAATCCTCTTTTAAACTCTGGAGAAGGACAGTCTCGACAGAAGCTGCCGGTTCGGGAATTCCCTGTTCTTCATCCGCTTCTCCCTTGGCGGAGTTGCTGCGGAGATTAAGACCGTAAGAGATGTTGGTGTCGGAATGGGGATGCTGGGAGGAGGAATCGAGCTCAAATTGGAGATCACGAGAGGCGTGCGATTGGAGAGGGAGGTCGAGATTTTTCATCTTCTTGTAGGGACGCCATTCGTTTTGCTTGGGAGGGATTATGAAAGAAGGTATGGAGTTGGGGTGGGATTGGATTTTGGAAGGGTCGAATTCAGTGACAAATTCTTTATGGTTTTGGTCTTCGTGGGCGGAGGCGTTGGGGATGGGCGCTTTTTGCGTGGGTTTTGGTTTGGAAGGGAGAGAGAAGGAGAGTTTCATGGCGAGAGAGAGAGAAAAAGAGACTCTGTGTTGTTGGATCTTGATGGAATAGGACGTGAAGGCTAGTGTCGAAATTATTTTCTGCTTTCCATTATTACTAGCATTAAAGATGGTTTTAATGAGAGAAGGTTGGCATGAAACACATAGTTCTCTGGTATATGTTTTCCTTCTACCCTTTTTCTTTCGATTTTCTTTTTTTTTTTTAATGCATTTTTGGGTAATTTTATCTAATTAAAAAATAAAAAAAAGGATAAAAAGTAAAAATTATAAAAAAAATTTCCCAATTAATCGGTCAAGTTAAAAATTATCGGATATGAATTATTTTGTTATTTTTATTTATTAATTTTTTTATTATAAAATTTATCTAATTAAAAAAAATAAAAAAATACATATTAGGATATCACGTGAATATCTCCATTAAATTTTTTTTCTTAAAATTTATCTAAATTAAAAACAAAAAATTAAAAAAAGGAAGAAAAAAGCAAAAAAATAAAATATCACATTAACACTTTAAATAAGGGTTAAACAAAAGTGAAAATGAGTAAAATTTTAGTAATTAAAAAACACAAAACCAAAAAAAAAAAATTATCTAATTAAAAATTAATAAAAAATTTGTATTTTTTCTTATTAAAAGAATCAAACCCCATCGAATATAAATTGTTTTACCACTCATATCCATTGATTCTTTTTATTACGAAATTTATCTAATTAAAAAAAAAAGGTAAAAGAAAAAAACCAAATTAGGTTGTCATATGGATATCTTTATTAGTTTTTTTTCCCTCAAAATTTATCTAAATTAAAAACAAAAAAAAAAACAAGAAAAAAAAAGTAAAAAATATAAGATGTCATGTTGACATTTTGAATAACGGTAAAACAAAAATAAAAATGAGTAAAATTTATATAATGTATGATAAATGGATTACATCTTAATTTGGTTTAAATATAATATTTTTATTAAACAACATATTAAGTAATAACATTATTTATAAAATACATATATATAAATATAAAATTAAATAAATAATAAATTTAATTATATATATTCTTGGAGCAAGAAGAACACCTTAAACTAATCTATGATTTGACCCTAATTTAAGAAAATAAAAAAATTTGACTCGATCTCAAATTTTTTAAAAACTTATATATATTGGATCGGGTCAAATTAAAATCCATAAAATATGGATTATTTTGTCATCTCTAATAATATTAATTTTTTCTTACAAAATTTATTAATTAAAAATTTAAAAATAAGAAAATAAAATGATGAAAAACAAAGCCAAATAAAATGTCATATGAATTTATTAAATTAAGATTATTAAATAATAATTTTATTAATATAATACATATATATAATTAAATAAATAATAAAACATATATTTATGTATACCTTGGTAAGGTGAAACATTTTATACTTGCATTTGACCTAATCTTGATTTAAAAATAAAAATCTAGCCAATCCTAAATTTAAAAGAAACTCATCAATTGAATTCAAATCAGTCGAAGCCCTTCAAATAGAAGCCTTTTTCTCATCTATAATTCCATTGACATTTCTTAAAAAAAAATATTTATCAATTTCTTTTATTATAAAATTTATTAAATTTAAAACATAAAAAACAAAAACAAAAAAAAGAAACTATCGTAACAATGCACAAAAAATTAAATAAAAAAAAGCCAATGGTGACACACGACATCCTAACGAATACCGTACATGTCCAAGATTTATAATAAAAATAGACCACTTCTATTAAGAAAGCAAAAGCTATTGTTAAAAACCATATTTTTGTTAAAACATTTTTGTTAAAACATTTTTGAGTTATCATTCATCTCTGTCATTTTTACCACGTTGTTCAAGTTATTATTTATTTATTTTTTGTTTAAAATGATTAAGATATGAACTATAACAATTAATGACACTATTAATTATAATGATCGTTGTAGTATAATATTATTTGTAATTAAAGAACAACAAACTATATTTATCAAAATAAAATGTGATGTTAATATATTAAAATTTTAATATAAATGATTTATATAATTATTTTTAAAATTGATATTTAATAAATATAAAGTTTGGATTTTAATAAATATCCATCCAACTTTGAAACAGGAAAAAGTAAAAAAATAAAATAAAATAAAATAAAAAGGGAGTTGGTAATATGTTTGGGCCAGAAACAAGGCGTTTCTGGGTGTCTGGTTTGGGCTTTAAGTTGAAATCCATCCAAGAATATCTGCATTGGGTCTTCTTTTTAATTGAAGGATAGTAGCAGAACAAGAGAGAAGACAGTTTCTGCTACGAGTGAACGGGAATGGAGCTAACGAACGGCAATAAACCATCTTCCAAGCTCCTCCTATTCGACCGCCGTTATGGTTGGGTGTAAGACTTTTCAACTCTTGTCTGTCTACGCATATACATATTCTTTTCTGTTGTGGGTTTTAATGATTGTATTGTTTTGTTGGTTCATTCATAAATGTAGGTTTGATGAATGGAAAGACCCATCGGAAGAAGCTCTAGCTGCTGGCCGAGGAATGTAACTTCCTTCTCTCTCTTTCGTTTTGTTTTCTCATTCTTTTCATTAAAGATAGAAAGAAAGAATTCACATGGATTTGGTCTGATTAATCACTATGTTTGTTTCTTTGGCTTCATTTTCAAAAGGTTTTGCATAGTTCCTCTAGCAAAAGCTTTCTTGAAGACAGCTTCAGATTCGGTATGATGCAACCAATTCTTCTTAAATTCATATTTCATTTAGTTTTTGGCATTTATTAGATTTTATTCTGCTTTGTTCCTTTCTCTAATAACACCAAACAGTCACTTTGATGTGTTTACTTTGTTTATATCATGTTTGGCAAACTTAGTGATAAGTAGTTAAATAGTTTGCTCTTGGCTTAACAATTTTGCAGATTTTAATTCTAGAAAATTTCTCTATGTATCATCTTCATACCGTAGGCTGTCCCTTCTGACCAATACCCTAGAAAATTACTTGCTTTTATGGTTCAAATTTATGTTGGTCATGTCATCGTACGCCTTCTAATGCCAAGGATATGTTAGCAGATTGTTTGTGCTAATGACTTGGTGAATCAAGCGAGATAAAATGGTTTTCTCATTCAATTTAATTGGTTCTTTTTATTTTGTTAGGGAATTTGTTAAAAACATATCCATGAAAAGGATTTTATCTTTAAGGTTGAGTTAATAGCTGCATGTGGAATAAGGTTTTGGATATTTAGGAAGGATGAAGACCAACTATCAACCTTTAAGTTGTGAACTTAGCTTTTGAGTGGAGACTGGCTTCAGATATTGTATCCAGTGTCTCCTAACTGCCCTCAAAGTCATCTCTGGGTTGAGCCATCTTGCCGGAATCATCATCTTAAAGTTAACTATTACTTGCATTCATACTTTTGGTATTTTCATTTAACACATGCACTGGGCACTAATTCTGTGGACACAAGAAAAGGTAGGTGCCGAGGTGCACAAAAGCAAGGATATCTCATATAAGTAAGAAGCCGAAGAAGTGGCATTGGGTCATTATTGCATTACCTGGTTCTTTTTCTCCCAAAGCACATTTATAGGAGATTTGGTCTCTATGTATACTTACCCTTGAGAATAATTGCCTTGTCCTCTAGTATAATCCTAATGTCAGGCAAAGAAATTTGCCTGGTCTCTAAGAGGCAAAGAATAAGGAAACATGGAAATAATTGTGTCCTCGAATATGTTCTCCCTGAAACATTGTTCCTTCGGAACTATTTACTGCACCCAGGGATCCACTTTACAGTTGGTCAACCTTAACATTAAAGGCTGTTGTAATTGTAGGGGAAGAATTTTAAAATGGTGTCTTGATGATACCTTATATAACTAGATTAGCTGAACCATTTGAGGGTTATTCCTTTAGAGGGTCAATGATATGCTCTTGTAAGAGGTTTCAATGAGTTCTGCCCTGTCGGATGCCTTGCATGTTTGGAGATTGTGGATAACATGATAGCAAACCAGTATGCATGACTTATATATTGAATTACAAAGTACCGCTGAATAAACCCTGAAATTATACTTACAACCCCCTTATTTTAAAATAGTCTCTTTCCCCTCGACTGTTTCTCATGTTATTCAAACCTTATGACTTTTTCTGCTTTGCTGACATCACTCCCAACTTGCAGAGAAAGGCCCAAGTCTTGCGTAGTAGTTCTTTGTGAGAACTGAACTTCTTTTCATAAAGAAATTTTAAGAATAGAACCAGAGCTTGGAAGGGATAGAAGAGAGAAAAAGTAAATAAGAATAAAGCTAATGTTGGTAAGGTGCTATTTATAGAGGATGTAGGTAGCAGTTATGCATTTGCCAAAACTAAACCAGCTAAGCCTGCTTTTTTCTAAATTACCAAAATTATGCTTTAGATTAAGTAAGTCTCAACATAACAATGACCAGAAAAAAAAAAAAAAAAAGAAACGAACTTTCAAGTTAGTAACGTATTTAATTCTTTGGGTTATCTGTTTGGTTCAAATCACCTCTGAAATGTGTTATTAGTTTATCTTCCTCCTTTTTTTTATCAGTGATAGATTACCTTAACTTCTTTGAGATCTAAACCACTAACTTAAGATGGAAAACTTGACATAATCTTTAAAATCTTGCCCATTTTGGTTCCTGAAACCATACTTTTTTTCACATCCTCAAGACCACTTGGCATCATGATGCGCCAACCTGAAAATTGCTTGTATAATCTTGTTTTTGAATTGGTTGACACACTGCTGCAGAATATCTTTCATGGAGTGTGAAATTTTTGTGTTATTTATTTTTTAAGCATCACAAATGATTGTTCTTAATCAGTTATCCAATATTATGATATCAAATAGCCTTTTCATTGTAGTTACTTTTTGTGCTTTGTTTCTTGCAGATCAATTTTGCAGCAAGATCTGCTGTAAAAGTCCTACAAAAGCCAGACATGCTCTCCCCCCAAGAACTGCAAGCTAGCCTTAGACATCAGCTGAAAAGATTCTCAAATTCTATACAAAACCATATTTCAAATGCATGATTCGAATGGAAAATCCCAGTCATACTGGCAGCAGTTCTTCGCATCTACCTGTTGAAAACGAAGAATCACAAAGTGCCTAATTGCTCAATATTTGCATAATACTTTACATATAAGTATCATTACTCCACATCAAATGTTTTTCTTGCACCTGGATTTTCGTGTGCTGCAAGAGATTATGAATCTACCTCAAAACTAATTTGTTTTGTGTACTACTAAGTAGGGGTTACTTTTACTATTATGACTTTGTTTATTTTTTATTACAACACATTTATGCTATTCTGATGCTTTGAGGTTTGCGAGGGTAGGATGCAAAATCTTTCCTTTTGAGTTTTGACTAACCTAAAACTTACGATGCAGAAAGTTGAGAAAAGAAGAAAGGTTACGGTTGATTGCTGCAGATCATTGATCCCACCGGAATGTCTTTTGGGATCATTGAACTGTCTTCCCTGGCTATGATGATTAATGATTATGATCCAGCAATGATACAACAGTCCTTGTCTCTGTTGCATCAGCTTTGTTAGTAAAAAGCAATAAACCTTAAAAAAGATGCTTGTTGAGTTTTGAAACCAAATGTAGACTAAGGCCAAGTTTAATATTGCTGCTGTTTGGAAAAGTTTGATTTAAAAAAAGTATGTGTAAAAGTATGGTTAAAAATACGTGATCTAAGAATATCAAGTGTTTTAGCATTAGTTTAAAATAGTATTATTGGTATATTGAAGTGTTTAATTTAAAGTGAAATAAAAATTTTTCTTTCGAAATTATTATGTTTTAGCGTTTGGTTTACAAAATTAAAATTTTTTTATGGCTTAAAATTTTCTTATGTTTTACATTGAAGATTGTGATGGAGAGACGATTTTTTTTTTTTTTTTTTAAAGACACTTTTAGACCTTAATACTAGTTGAGACATGAATAAGATTTTAAAGAGTGTTTGGTTGGTGGCGGAGAATTTATACCTTAATGCTAAGAGGGACCTAAACAAGATTAATAGGGACTTACATAAGATTTTAAAGAGTGTTTGGACATGCCCAAAAACAAATTCTCACCTTTTCATAACTGATAACTATTCAATTTTGTTCTTGATTTATTTCTACCATCGAAGAACTTTTTATCTTTATCAATTACTGATATTTGAATTACTAAGATAGCAGGCAAATATTTTTATTTTCACTATTGTTAAAAGCAGTGTAACTTGAATAAAATTCTTCAGATAATATCATCCAACGATCATATAATTAAATATTTATTTTGATTAATTAAATTATCATGCTGTAACTCAAGTTTCATTATAACTTTTGCAGAAATACAATGCAGATAGGTAAAGTATATGGCTATATCTTTAGGAGTGTTTTACCTCTAATTCTCCTAATTATAATGTTTTAATTAACCAATTATAATTTAAAATTATGTAAATCTCCTGCTTATTATAAGTATGGTTTTTATATAATATTTGAATGAATCCTACGAAAGATCGATTAATTGTACTGCATGAATTACCAGAAAAGCTGTCTGCCTCGAGCCTAATTAAAGCTATTGCTAATGATTTATGTAAAATAACAAGGTATGATATGATACATTCACTAAAAAGGTAAAATCGAGACCATTCGATTAGATTGGGTTCAATTATACAAATTTGAATTTGATTTACATGCCAGATTTGCAGTCGCCAATTTTACAATTTTCAACTATACTGTTATCAACTTAAGTGGTGCAAAACCCATGCCTGATGCTTACTCAATATCTTTTACAGCGTCCTGCGTCGCAATCCGGGCAACAGAAATAGTAACCATGTCAGATAATAAACACAAAGGGAGATACAATAAGAAAAATCGAGACAGAAGATGATTCGTTTTCAATGCCAACAATCCGTCAAACAACTAGATAACCACCAATCCGAACATTTCCCATACTTGTTGGAATTGGAATTAAGATGTCAAATTAGGTTAATGAAATTTGGACTGATAATATGAACATAGGCAATGCAAAGGTCTTTGAGATATTTGGCAAAATGGCATTGTTAAAAAAGTTTTTTTCCTTTTCCGAGGGGTAAAACACCGTTGTTAATGTAAATGAATTATCCATCACAATAGAGGGAAAACCCTCATATGCATCCCCAATTAAGAACCAACACAATTATGATAACAAGAAAAGGGTAACCAAATGATATTACCTTTGCAAGCTGTGTCACATAAGCTGCCGCTATTGCAGTGGCCAACAATCCGAGTCCAAGTGTCAATATACCATTTCCTCCACCAAGCCCCAAATCTGATTCCTCTTGCTGAAAATTTCCCAAATGGGAAAAAATAATTAATTTTATAAAACATAACTCAGGCAATTGTAAGGTAACAGAAGTTATTGCAACAAAAAACAACCACTTAACAGCCAGTCAATGAATAATTTAATGCTCAGAGGTCATGTTTGATGCATAAGATGATAATCATCTTATATTATATTTGATTTGTATCTAAAGATTGTAAGGAGGATTCATCATCCTCTTGCTATAGAATGATTTAGTTCTCCCAAAGTAAAGAGGATTATTTTCAATCCATGGGATTAAATTTATATATCTTATTATCTCTTAAAAATTATATCAATAATTTGAATTGTATCAACTTTGAGGAAAGATAATTTTGACTAATAAATAAATTATCTTATCCTAGCATTCATTAAACACAAGATAGTATGACATTATTTAATCTAATACTAATCTTATACACCAAACACGCTCAAAGGATGTAAAATGAATGTAGGGATGAAAACACAAATTGGTATCGACTCCCGAGAATTAGCATAGTAACTGACGTTATTGGATGGCAAAATGATTACTAATTCCTTCTAATAGTAAACTGCTTGTAAATTATTTTTCATCTATGTAACCATTGAAGGAAGATCAATGAGAACTAAAATGAAGATGCTGAAATTGTTATAAGGTAGAGGATAAACTTAGTGCAGGATGGTTTGGCCATCACAACATAGACCAAGGAATGCTCATACACAGGATTGTTTTGAGCCAAGTAGGACAGGTAGCAGTAGCTAAAAAATACATGGGCTCAGGTCATAAAAAAGGATCATAAAAGCCTGTTAGCTAAAAATAAGGAGAAAATAAATTCACATAGCTAATACCAATTAGTTTCAGATTATGGCTTAGTTGGGATGAGCTGAGTAGCAAGCAACATTCCAGTAGCACTGTTGGAGAACCTCATAAATGACAACGCCTATTTTCAGACTGAAAATTGCTCCAATTCATTCTAATAGAACTGATTCTCTTCCTAGAGACAAAGAAATTAATACTTCTGATAACTGCCTAGGAAAGAACCAAAAGATGCTAGGAAGAAGCAAAGCTAGGCTTTAGCATTGGTTAATGGGGTCAGGTAAATTTAAGATAATGATAATAAATGAGACTTGCATGCATGTAAACATTACATCAATTATATTAGGAAGGTAAAAGAAGGATGAGAAAATTAGACAAGGAAAAAGAGGTGCGAGGACACGGATAAGAAGATATGAAGTTTGAATGACTAAAATTTGATCATATAGATAATTCACAAGGAATACAAATGAATACTTACAATAATTGCTCGACCAAATGCACCAGCACTGACATAAGCCCATGTTCCTGGAAGCATCCCCAACCAACTGCATGGCAATTATTGGATCAGTTTGAAGCAAAAAGTGAATAGCATGTAAAAGACTTCAGCAAACTTCTATTCCCAAACTTAGAGGCTATTCTCACTGTTCTACAAAAAATCAAGTTGGTTTCTAGATCATAATCCAGCTTTTAAATCATAGAAAACCGTGGGCTAAATAAAGATTCTTTTGGGTCCCTTTCTTCTCTCATAATTGAGAACCAGGGACCTCTTTTCAGGTGAACAAAGCTGCTTTAGGCAAACATCATGTAAGGCTATCTGGGAATTCTGCAATTGGTAATAATTCAATGCACCAAATTTTGATCGTTTCCAAAGAGAACAAGTTTTAAACGGAAAACTGAATCTTGCCAGGATAATAGTAATTTATATGGGAAAATGCTGTGCAGTCAATCATACCAGGAGAAACATTACGTCAATTATTTTAAAACTGGAGTTGTGAGAGCATGCCTAGCAACACTTAGAATGACAATCCTAGCCCTTTTTTTCATGCTAATAAATTTAATTTTCTTTAATAATTAAAATTTGCAAAAAAGTTTATATAAGTAAAAGATAAATGCAATTGATTGTAAAATTAATAAAGTAATGAAAATCTCTTGAACAACTGTTAAACATCACAACAGATGTCAAAAGCAAGCAAATATAGTAATTGAAAGAAGAAGAAGAAGCAAACCTTCCCAACACATATGGCACAAACTTCACAGATGTTAATCCATAGAGATAATTCCCCAGTGAAAATGGGAGCAAAGGGCTCAATCTAAGGAGGGTCACCACTCTGAAGCCATCTTCTCCAATCGCTTTGTCAATTGCAAGGAACTTTTTGTTCCCTTCAACCAGTTTAAGAATACGCTCACGAGCAAAATATCTAGCAATTAGAAAGGCAACACTTGCGGCCACCTAAAAGATTAAAAGAATATTAATACATAAATTTCAGTTACTCACATTCTCTCCTCTTTTATGTTTGGAAGAGAACAAACTCACCGTTCCACTGATAGAGACTATAATGGTGCCAATGACAGAGCCAAAAAGAAGACCAGCTGACATAGTCAATGGAATGGCAGGAATAGCGAGGATCTGCAACATAACAGAAAAGACAGGGTTGCTTTTAGCAAAGATAAGGAAAGTATACTGGTCTTAAGCATTTGAATAGAAAATTTAGACTGAATCCTCCGTAGAAGTCCACATAGAATAGATGATGAGAGAGAGATTTGCAATGACATATAGTTATAAACATTTCAGGAGATAATGACTCTTAAGCCAGAGAAGAGAAAACACCTAAATTCTCAACTCTATTACCTCTGATGCGAAATTTACATCCATCATTAGCTTGCATGAAAAATCTAGAAAACTAAGTAACTGAGGGCTTCAAATAGAACCAAATAAAAGAGGCAAAGCACAAGATTAATGATAAATGCTTACTTCCAATCCTGCATAAACTGCTACAAACAAAGCATATCCAGCAGGGCCATAACCTGCTCATTGAAAGAAATGTCTACCATTAAAATACTGGAGTCTGTTTAATAAGCACATTTTACTAATCAAATCTGAAATTACTTCCAGAAAAGGCTAAATGAAATTATAGGACTTTGTCAGCACTATATGTCAGGCAACGAGTTCCCACAACGCAGAGAAACTTCAAAGGCAAAACTGTATATGCATTAGCATCACACGAATTACAATGTTAAAGTTTCTTTTGTGCGTAACAAGATACAACTAAAATGCCACAAAATGCACTCATTTTATAATCATCGTTAACCACCTATTACCTCACATAGTCAAGGAGACAAGTCTCTCCATCATAGGGACAAATGACATTTTATCACCCTCAATCAACGGTCCAAAAAAACAAAAGTATCGTTTCTTTATCATTTTAATCTAGCTGCTAAGAATGACTCATTCTACTGTAATCAAGGAAGGTTAAAAACATAAAAAAATAAAGATGAAACATAAAATGCCCTTTCATCAGGAATAGAGAGAAGATGCATAGCAAGGGGCCAAAGCCTCGACCATCAATAGCTAAAGCAAAGTAAATTCGTAAATTTACATGAAACCTCAATTGGTTTTCTAATTATCAAAATAAAACAATCCGAATTCCAAAATTAAATGAACAAAGAATCATCATTCACATGAAATAACCCTATTAACAAAAGCAAGACCAAATTCGGATGAATTCTGAAAAAGGGTCTGGATTTCGTGAAGAAATACCTTCAATGAAAGTAGAGAATTGGTTCAAGAAAGCATTGATCTGATCCTTGTAGACATACCCGACAGTAGCAAATCCACCAACAACACCCACAAGTAAAACTCCAGCCAAAACGGTACCTTTAAGTGCAGTATCCCCTTCGATCCCTCCTTCACCCTTACCCTTATCCTCATCCACTTTGAGCTTCTCGTCATCATCACCTTTGGGGTTGAGGAACCACCTCAGACTCTGTGGAGCATTGGGTGGACTCTTCTGAAGGGACTGCCGCTTCTTTGTTTCTCTGAGAGAAGAACAAGGCTTAAAAAAGTGGAAATGCTTATTGGGTCTAAAGCTAGAGTGAAAGGAATCGGAAGAAGAAGAAGAATGAGAAGCAGAAGGAGAGGAATGGAAGTTATAAGTAATTGGAAGAGAAGAAGAAGAAAGGCATGGAGGCCTTAAGGTAAGGAGGGCGCGCATTTTAAGGAGCTGCCTCAAGCTGAAGCTGGTGCTGTTGTGGAAAGAATGCCATGTATAGTTGGATTTGTGGTTGTTTCTAGGCACACATGTTTTGGAGATATTTGGCAAAAGTCTAAAGGAATGGTTCGGAAATTTTTTGCTTCTTTGGTCATGTCCTTTACTTTCAGCCTCACATCATGCCACGTCTTACTACTAATATCAAAATGTTTAAGCCATTCTCTTCTCACCATGCAAAATCATTGGAGGAGTTTTTTTTTTTTTTTGAATGCTATTTTGGACTTTTACTTTTTAAAATTTTGTATTTTAAACTTGTTTTTCAATTACTAATATTCTTTATATTGTCTTTAGGTGATAAATGGACTGATAAGATTAGATTTGGATTGAATTATTTTGGATCGGATTATTTTAATTAAAAAATAGATTAATATATGTTTAAATTAAGTTAAATTTAAATCAAGAAATGATCAAATCATTTTGGAGTTCATATTATTTTGATTTTAAATCAAATCAAATTTGAATCAGAAAAATTTTGGTTATTTTGGGTTCGGCATATTTGGTTCAAATTAATTTAAATTTAGATTAATTTAAATTTGAATAATTTTGAGTATGTATAATTTTGATTTCAAATTTTTCGATTTTGACTTTTGGATCATTGGAGTTTTAACATTTTAATAATTCATATTTGATTCGTTTACTTTTAAAATTAAATAAATATAATTAAATTATATAAAATTAAAATATCAAAATTAAATGATTTAAAAATAATTTACTAATAATAGGAAATTATGTTATGTTAAATATAAAATTAATTTTGTTCATGATAAAAACTTATTAATGATTTTATTGTAGCTTATATTTAATATTTATTTTTCATATTTTATGCATTAATTATTAATTTATTATTAATAGTTTTAATGATATTTCAAACAGTATACGTCCACATTATTATTCATTAATAATAAATTGAAAATGAAAAAATAATTAGATAATTTCAAAAAAATATCACCATCAAAGTCCTCACTAAATAGTACAATAATTTAAAAAAAATTATAAGTATTGATTACTTAATTGGAATAATGGTCTACTATTAAAATTTTAAAAAAATTAAAATATTGAAATTACTTATACATAATATTGATTTTATTTATATAATTGATCATTTGAATAGCAAGTAGCAAAAATGTATAAAGAAAAATAAAGATGACATAATCACCTATTGTCTATTGATATAGCATGGCATGGCATTATTTGACGTAATTGGCTTGATTTTAATTTTTAAGTTATAAAATTTGATTTTGAATGTTAGTTTTATGTATAACAAAAACAATATAAATATAATTGGACATATACAAATTAATTTTGATGGAGCTTTCAATAGAGAACATCGAACTGGTGGTGTGGGGGTTGTTATTCGAGACGCTAGGGGTTATGTATTGGGTGCATGCGCTGCTAAACTCAAGGACTCGCAGATCCCTGGTCTGTGGAAAGTTGGGCAGGGCAGCAGTTAAAGGCTTTAGTTTTTGCAGGGGAGCCGGGTTTCACGAGAGTTATATTGGAAGGAGATGCAATGGGAGCGATCCAGCGGCTAAGAACTGAAGAAGCTGACCTGTCTCCAATTGGTATTGTCATTGAAGAGGCCTATGCAAACATGAGAACATTCCAGCTGTGCAAGGTGAAGCACATCAGACGACCAGGAAACATAGTGGCGCATGAATTAGCTAGAGATGGAGAAAGCTTAGATTCTGAATCAATTTGGGTAGAAGAATGTTCTGCATCTCTATTGTCTTGTGTTAATGCGGATTGTAACCAACCTATTTATTAATGAAATATCCTAGTATACTATAGGAACTCTGATGAAAATGAAAAATTTCACTCCTTTGTGCCAAGTTTTTGCTCTTCTTCTTTGGCTCATCTTCAATGTCAAAATCTGTTTTCTTTCTTTTGGAACAAGCTCTACGGTTCTGGAATCAATTGTAGACGTTTGCTTGGGTAATTTCACCATGTTGTGCCAGTCGAGTGGTAATCTCTTTGATCTTATTCTTCCCAGGACTCCCATTGCATTGATCAAATAAACGCTCAAGGATTTCGAGCTGTGTAGTTGTTGGGGTTCAACGATGCCGGTAAGGTACCTTGTGGCTAAAAGATGCCCTTAAGTGTTCAGAATACAGGCTTCCCCAACTACTAATTCCTACATCACAAAACAACACTAACTTAAACTCAACAATATATGGAACTAGCTAGAAACACCCCATTGCTTCAGAATAGAATTTCGAGTTGCAGGTTTTTTTATTTTACAAAAGAGACCATGGATTCGGGATAGGAAAGGGATTTGAATCTCAAATATATCGAATGTCACCAATTAAGAGTGATTATATGAATTAATTGAGTTAAGTTCAGGTTCCTTACAATCCCTTTTTGTTTTTAATAGATAAACGAAAACACTAACTTATGTATGAAAAAAATCATTATTTTCAAGTCAAACATTGTATATGAATTTAGTAAGGATATAACAATGAACCGAAATCACAAAAACATTAAACATGTTGAAAAATTAAGTGAAAATTGAGAGAGCAATATTAAGAAACGACCTACGGCTGCGAGGTGGTGGTGTTGCGCACACAAAAGTATTGTGCATCTGAACAGGCAGCTCAGAAATGATGGCATACGCAGCAGTCTGTTTGCGTATCTGTCTTTACCTTCATTGCCAAAACAAAATCCCCATCTCTAGTATGCAGTTATTTTCCTCCCTGCTTTTTTTGCTTATTTTCGCGCCCTCCATCTTCCATCTTCCATCTTCTTTGGCTTCCCGTTAACTTACAGAGGCTATATATATACGAAATGAAAGCTATAGACAGAGCAGACTCCATTGACACTGGCGATTAGTTGATAATTTGTAAAAATTTTGAACCATATGCGATCACTGCATTCACTCCTAGTTTCATGCAATTACAAAAAAAAAATAAAAATGGCTGTCTAATTAAATCAAAACTTTTAATTTGTGTCAAACTTTGATCAAACACTTTCGACTAAAACTTGGGAGAAATCTAAGTAATTCTCTCTTGTTTCCTAATTAAGAAGGATCGTATCGTTTGTGCTGCTGAGAGTTTAATTGATTTGCCTTTTCTATCAAAAGATAAACAAAAATACTGATTTTTATTTCTGGATATATACAATTGTTAAAGACTGTGTATGCACTTAATTAAAATTCTGGATCAATGCCCCAGTTAGGTTCTTTTCTTAGAAAAAGTATTAAAAAAACCTTTACAACTTGCAATGACAGCTAAACACTTTAACAAAGATTTTTATTTCATCAAAACTTGAATCGGTAAAGATTGAACATTCCAAGTATAGAGTTTGTGTTTAATTTTCGTTGTTCAAAAAATGTTCAATTTGCTCTATCAGTAATTTTTTATGGACGATATATAAATTTAATTTGAATTTTTGTCTAGATTTACTATATGCTTTTGCCTTGAAATGAGATAATTTTCTTGGTTTAAATTTTTTTTCTTATACTACAGAATGAAATTAAAACGATTGTTAAACATTGCTCACAAGTTCACTAAAATAGACACATCAACTTGTCCTAAAAAAATAGATACATCAATTTCTTAATTTCTTTATTTAGCATTAATTATTAATCTATACTAGGGGAAAATAAAAACTTCAGGTAGTGCTATTTGATTATGCAGTTTTCTTCTTACATATGGAAAATTTTATTAGATAATTTAAAGATGACTTCTACTATATAAATTGAGAATAGTGAATCAAATTTCAAAACATTTAAATAGAGATTTATTTAAAATTTTTTAAAAATTGGTTAGATATTATTTGGTGGATAAGAAAATTTGTAAGAGAAAAAGTTTTATAAACAATGTAATATGCTTATAAATAATGGTAGTTCTATAGAACTAGGTATGAGAGAAAAATATAAGAGAATTATAAGCTTTCATTGGCTAGATAGTCTTTAGGAATAAAAAAGATTAAGAGGGTTCATATATATGTATAAGTTTGGTTATTATGCTTGTGAGTAGATTATAGGAGAATGATGTAATCCACATAACTATAATGATTATTATGCTTGTTTGGGTAAACTAGAGGAAATTGAGATGTTTTACTTGAATATGTGCTTATTTAGGTTGATAATACTTTATAAGACTATAGAAAAATGTCCATGAATATTGATTATAAGTGATTGATTGATGTGATGAATTTATAACTCTCTATAATTAGTGGATCTTTTCTCTTATCTCTTATTTGAAGATGTAATGTCATTTTAAGTTGGATAGAATTACGTTAAATTAGTATCTATTATATAGATGATTAATTTTTTTATGTCACTTCCACTTGCTTGAATGATTAATTGATTGAGAGTTTTTTTGCCTAACAATGGGAAGTAGAGCTGTTACGATCCTAACAACTAGTATTAGAAGAATGCTTGAAGCAGATGTGAATGGCTTAACAATTGGTATCAAAGAAAAATTTCGAGACGTGAGAAGAGGTAAGCTCGGACGAGCTTGATTCAAAAGAAAATTTTGAGTTCGTGTTTTAAAAGATCAATTTGTATAAAGTGTGAATACACACAGATAAAATTGTTATTAGACTAACATTGTTTGTGGAGCTAAGAGCATGAGGAATGACGATTTGATGCAATTTGAGTTAAAATGGCAATTATTGTGAATAGTAACTCAAATTCCAAAAGATTTAGATAAAGATTTATTTGAGATTTTTTTTTTAAATTATCTAAATATTATTGATGAATAAAAAGACTTATAAGAAAAAATTTTAAGAGGAAATGGATTCTTGATAGGCAAGTTAGTATGTTTATAAATAGTAAGAGTTTTTATAAGGTTAGGCTTGAGAAAAAGATATAAGAGAGTTATATGATTTTATTGGATAAATATTTTATAAGATTATAGGAGATTAAGAGGGTCTATATGAGTGTGTATATTTGATTGTTATGTATGTTTGGATGGATCAGAGGAGATTGAGATGATATACATGAATATGTAATTGCTTTAGTTGAGAATATTTTATATGACTAGAAAAATGTTTTTGAGTATAAATTATGAGTGATTTATTATATGGGTATTTCTAATTCTCTACAACTAATGGATATTTTCTCTCATTTGTGAATGTAGGTCACTTTGAATTGGATCA